ATTTTCTCTTCTATAAATGTCTCCCGTTTGCTGAAACATCAGGTTTCATCAGTTAGATTACTTACAATAGCTGAAATGCTTAATAGATTCCTTAGAGACATTTTTAATGTGTCTTTGATATACTAAACCCTTCAGTCTTTCTGATTCGTTAGTGCATGTGGTATAAAGAAAAATTTTTCCTTTTTCAAATATTCATTCCAAATTCTGTAGGCTATACTCTACGACATCCCAATTTCCTTTTTAAAAAGTTTCATAGTTGCGTGCCGCTCGCTTCGAAGAATATTTTTGATATTTTTTCTTCGCAAATGATTTTTAGTGACGGTGATTGGTTATGGTCTTTAAAGTCTTCATGACCATCACGGAATCTACTAAGCCCACTGAACATTTGTACGCAGGAGACTGATTAAATATTTTTGGCGGTAGTGCTCGGTTATTGTCTTCAATGATCTTAAGACCAAATAGAAAATCTGTGTACAGTACATGCATTTTTTTGTAATTCTCCCCTTTTGTGATGCCTCTTTTAACCAATTTAAAAAAAAATTTTATATTTTATATATTATATACTATATTATTTATTCAAACAACCGACACAGTAAAAGTCATGGAAATTCTTTTATATTTTGACTCATAGATGTCGGTATGTTAAGAGTTTAGTGGTGTTCAATTTGCTATCTGCCGTTGAAGTAAAACTAAATTATCTTTTGTAATAAGCAACTAAGACGGCAAGTAGTTGTTTTTATGGCACCACTTTTATCGGAACTTAGGCAGATCATACGAGTATATTGTATAAATATTTCTTTTTTTGTATAAATTTTTGCAACTTTATTCAACTTTTTCACTTTCAAATTCAACTTGAAAATTTGATTTTGCATATCAATTATTTTTCTACATTTTTTTTCAATATTAATTTTCAAGCGACAGCTTTACATTTTCCCTATAGATTTCACACCCTAGCTGACCTTTTTAATAAAATCTCGATTATCTGCACATTAAAGTAATAAAAATCGAATAAATTTTCAATCTGGTTAAATCGATAGCTTAAGACTGTTCAGTTTTGCGTCAAACTGCAAAAAAAGCCTTAAGAAATTTGTAATCCAAAGAGGAAATTTCCTAAAAATTCATTCAAAATCAGTATGGAGATGCCTCCCGGCAACAGAACCTATTATTTAGCGATAATAGAAATTTAAATTGAATAATGTCAAAGTAAAAAACATTTAATGTATTTCGAAAAGCCCCTTTCGCTTTGATTGCTATGCAAACTGAATTGTTTAAATTCAGATTGAAACTTCAAACACGCCTAGAGGGAGAAAGTGTTTAGGTTATTGTTGAAATTTTTTTAGAAATTTAAAACAAAGTAAACTTAAAATATTTGTAATAAATTTTAGATACATCAAGGAATATGAAATTTTAAGAAATTTGTCTGATATCGCCGTTTAAGTTAATTCCACCAATATTTACGCAATCAAGCTCTGTCAATGGCAAAGGACTAAAAGATGAAAAATTCAATTTTTTAAATGCTAGGAATTTTAGCGAGAAAAGTTAATAAATCAATACGAATAGATATAACAATCAATGGTGTACATTGGTATGGTTATGAAATATAATATAACATAATAAAAATTATATAGATTTTAACTTAAAAAAACTTTTTTTTTCTTATTTTGCATTTTTCCTACATCAACGAAAAGTTTTGCAACGATTTTGACCTATCAATCCGGTCCAAAATCCATGTCGTTACAACTATCTAAACTATCTAAACAAAGCCTTCAACAAAGTATTAAAATATGCTAAGAAGTTGCTTTAATAATTCACTGAAGCTATTAAAAAAAGTGCAATCCAAAATTATTCAATTCGGTAGGAGCACATACAGTCCTACAGTACAGTTTAGAATCTACAATAATTTAAGAGTCTGAAAGATTTGGTTAGTTTCAGTGTCTCTCATTCTATGTCACTAGCTACTCAATTATTAATTCATATATATATGAAGGACATTCAAAAATTAGATTTTCTTGACATTAAGCCGTTGACTATCTTGATTTTAAATTTATACTGAAAGTCTACAAAGTGTTGATTTTGTAATAGAAAGTCTTGGCAATTTTACATTAGCGATGACTATAGTAAAATAATTTTTAAGTATGTTAGATATGATTTTTAAAATAATATTGCAATTGTTAAGGCCACCGGTTGTTCCGATAAGGTTCAAGTGGCAATAAGTGCAGCATTTTATTTGATGCCAAATCTGAGATCATCTATTATCAAATATAATAAAATGTGATATATAAGAAATGATATTATCTACGCTTTGAGGATATATATACAAAGACGTTCATGGTGTAAATCTGTTATATGAACATGCGAGCATGTAAATTTAATTATTGTGTTAAAGGATAGTTTGTAATTGTAATAATAATAATAATTTCAAAATTGATTTCCAATAATTCACTTTTAATTTATATAAATTGGTATCCAAATAATTCCATTTCAGTAATTATTATAAAACGATTGTGATGAATGCAAAAGCCATGATTATAGAAACTTGAATAAGTGAGAATGATTTAAATACAAACAGCAAAGTTATATTCTGGCAAATAATAATTTTGTATAACGTTGCAAATGCAATGTAGAGTTTTATCTGTGAGATACACGAAAATTCCAACTAATCTTTAAATCATAAACTCAAAAATCTATGCAAAGCGGATTTTGGAACACAGTAATAATGTGTGTCTGAGTACATTCCGCATGCACACATAAATCTATGTAATTCCATAATAAATGCATGGAGAATATACATTTATGCGAAAATAATATATGTGATAAAATAACATCAACGTACAGATGTTAAAAGTATTTGAAGGTTCACACTCACTCGTTCGGGAACGCGTGAAGTGAAGCTGTGAGTTCCAAAAAATCAGCAATAAATTATACATACTCCCACGTACTTCGCAGCGACGCTGCGGTTAAAGTTAGTTCTGAATGAATGTGTTCACATGCGAATATATGCAATATGTATGAGCTACACTAAAATGATGATATTTAAATTTGTTTACAAGGATTTATGGTTTCAAACGTGAAATGCTTAATTAATGCAGAATTTATTTTTGGGAAATACTTAACAAGTTGAATAAGTTGAAGCTTAAGTTGTACACAACCAAATTGATATACAGCCATATAATTTTCTACAATTTAGAATACAGTACCGATATAAAATCTCAGTGGAGCAGAACACCACGAGCTCAATAATGTGCTGATAAAAAAAATTATCTTAAATAACGCATATGGGTCATTCTTTTACAAACCGGACGGATTTTGGCAAAAAATGACCTCATCACCTCCGATTTGGCTGAAATTTTTTATGAGCTCCTTTCATAAAATAAGAAGACCCGTATCTCGGGAAAAAATTTTGTAATTTTTTTCCTAGGTGATATGGACC